TTAAAATAGTCGTGTGCTTTTTATATTTACGGTTATTCACATGATTACCTATGCTAATCGTTTTCCTAATGTTCTTAGGGATATATCCTTAGTATAATTCCAACTTGATCATTGTAAATGTTTTCTAGATATATATGTTGTTTTAAAGTTTTGCATTAATATTCATTGGTGAGACTGTTCTATAGTTCTCTTTTTCAATTTTGTCTCTTACTATTTTGGTTATAAGGATCATATATGGCTTATAAAGGGCAGCAGGGAAGAGTGTTTTCTGTTTCTATTTCTGTAGTATAGCTATTAAGTATCTCTATATAATAAATATAATTCACTTATAAATTCTTCTGACCTGAGTCCTATCCACCTCCACTCCTTCTGCTATTTGTCTATATTTTTTTTTAATTAGTATAATGGCCATAATTTTCCCCATTGTTTTTTCTCATTGTTTTAAAAAAAATGATATTTTATATTTTCAGAGATACTCATCAACTTCTTTTGAATCTTCAATTTTACTGACATATAGTCAAGTATACTCATTTCTTTTTTTTTGTGGAGGATGCTCAGTTCTGATCATTCTTTTTTACCTCCTGTATTTGTTTTGAATTTGTCTTTTTACTTAAAGAAATTGATTTTCCTATATCCTTTCCTTGATCAGGCTATCTAATGGTTAATCAGATTTTCTTGACTTAAAAAAAAAATAATCTTGGAACAACTAAGTGGTGCAGTGGATAGAGCACTGGCCCTGAAGTCAGGAGGACCTGAGTTCAAATCTGGCCTCAGACCAAACACTTGATACTTCCTAGCTGTGTGACCCTGGGCAAGTCACTTAACCCCAATTGCCTAAAAAAAAAAGGAAAAAAAGAATCTCCCAGGTTTTTTTTTTAAATCAATTCAGTAGAACTACATATTGACGTAGAAAATCATGTAGTAACATTATCTATATTTTATGTATTTTTACTTATTTTTTTTTAAATATTTCTCAATTACATTTTAGTCTAGTTCAGGCCACACTAAGGAGTTGGCCATGTGTTTAACACTTCTGTATTAGAGAATAAATAATCATTTAAATGTTAAAAAAAAAGTTAAACCTATAGTAAACAGATACTTCAAAGCCATAATGCAATATAGCAGACTGCTGCTTTACATATGAATTCCTCTGTATTACATACATATATAGACATACATATATGTATACATTTACATGGCCACATATTTGATTTGTATTTTCATTGGTATAGGGAACTTCTAGGTGATTAAAAACTGATAAGAAAAAAAAACAATAATTCATATTTATAAGAAACACATTTTAAAGGAAGTAAACACAAACATATATGTATATATGTATGTATATATACACATGTATGAATATGGGTATATGTTTTTTTTCCTTTTTATGCCATCACTTAATCATAGTTTGTTTTGCTTAAAATAATATGAATCTGCTTTCTCAGCAGAAAAAAAAGCGCTTTTCTCGTTGCCCTGCCCAATCCCAAATTCCTTGACTCTATCTTTATTTTCTCTTATGTTTGTTTTGCTCTTGCTTTCCCAACATACTCATAAACCTAATCCTGGCTCTATCCCCCCTACCACAAGACAGACCATATCCAGTTTTATGTTTCTCTGATATTGATTTATAATATACCTTTTTTAAAAGTTTTGTTTTCATTTCATTCTGACTTGCTTTTAACTCTTTCTAGGATTTCCTATAATCTATTCAAAAAAAAAATAAGTGTACATGAAAATAATAAGATGCAGAGTGAAATGGTAATTCTGGGGCACTGATCCTAACATTTGTCTTTTCCGTCATTGCTTACTTATCCCTACAGATAACATGCCACGGTGATCTCTTCAGCTTCCATGGATTTAACTATTATCTCTCTGCTTGCAGTGATCAAATCTGCATATCTACCCCTAACCTCTCTGCTGACTTGCATTGCCAGCTGCCTGTTGAACATCAATTGGATTTCCTACAGGCTTCTTAAATTCACTATGTCCCAAACTAAACTCGCTACCTTCTGCCCCCACCCCCAAACCTCCTCCATTCCAAATTTCCCTATGAAGATTCCTATCCTTCCAGTCTCCCAGGCTTACAACCTAGCTATTTTTCTCATTCTGTTTTACCACCCCATGCCATATCCAGTCTGTTGTCAAGGCCTGTTAATTTCACCTTTGTAACATCTCTTTGATTCAGTGACACCAGTCTCCTTTTTGTTCCTCACACAAGATACTCCATCTCCTTACTCCTAGTATTTTCACTGGCTTTCCCCTATGCCTGGAATGCTTTCTGTCCTCCTCATTGACTCCTGTTTTTCCTGACTTCCTTCAAATTCCAGTTTAAATACTGCCTTCTACAAAAGGCCTTTCCCAGTCATTCTTGATTCTAATTCCTTCCCTCTCTTAATTATTTCCTATTTATACTTTATTTGGCTTTTTGGACATTGTCGTTTATAAGTTGTCTCTGCCATTAAATTGTGAGGGACTTGAGGGCGGGGACTGCATTTTGTCTTCCTTTGTATCCCCAGTGATCAGCACAGTGTCTAGAAGGTTGTAGGACTAAATGAATGTTGATTGTGATTGACCACACCTAACTCTCTTTGGCCCTTCTACCCAGTACAACTCTCTCATATATGTGTGTGTGTGTGTGTGTGTGTGTGTGTGTGTGTGTGTGTGTGTGATGTGCATGTGTGTGTGTGTCTGTGTGTACATGTGTATATATTTGGAAAGACAAAGAAAGAACGTGGCTTTATTTTACATCTACAGTCAGTCAAAAGCACTGCTGGGTATTTGCAAAATGATGAGCATGAAAATTCAGCACAATTGCTTTTGAGAATGAATGGTAAAGAAATCCTATGAAGAACTCACAAAGACCCTCCAAATTAAATCTATGCATTCTAATACTTGGTAACTTCAGAGAAAGGGTGGGGATGGTAAGAAATACATGGGACTACTTGGTTTAAAGGGAGGAGAAAAGTCCTACTCTCATTTTCATTTTATTGGATGTATAGATTTTATCATATCTTCCCTTTGGGGTATGTTTATTTAGTAAATTTTCATCTAACTTGTTTTTAAATTGGGGTCTTTTATTTTGTCTGTGCCACAGTGTAGGAGGCATAAAGTCCCAAAGGATGTTCTGTTTTTTTGTTACAATCACTCTGTGTCCTTAAAGGTACAAGTCCTAGTCCTAGCCCCTTACCACAAGCCACGACCACTCCTATGAAGACCCTCAATGAGTATGAAAGTAGTAAGATAATCGCCTTTGACAAATTAAGGTGACCTCAACCCAGACCAATGATATCTTTAGGTACTGAATGAAAGTGATTGATGAGCTATTGTCTTATCTTTTCTTTTCTATTTCCATGTGAACTCCCTGTGTGGTTGCTGGCAGCCTCTGCAAACTCATGCACTCTTCTGTGGTAAAATGCAGCCCTGGGAAGCACAAGCCTTATTTGGGGAATGCAGCCACCCAGTAATTCTCTTCTCCCTGTCCCAGTCTATTTCCACAGACTTTTAGATCTTTTAGTGCCAAAATAGAAGCATAATTTAATGACAGCCTTCTAAGTCAACATGGACCTAACAGTTTCCCCTCGCCTATATACCAGTGCTTCTTATTAACTTATTTTATTATCTCCCTATAGGCTTATGCAGTTTTTGAGAGATGAATAAAGTTAATCTCTGTCATTTCTCCATCTACCTTTGAATTGGGGAGAGCTGTATCATAAACTCTGCCTATCCCTTGTGTCCCCTCTCCCTCTTTGAGCTACTTCTCTCTGAGTTGCTTTTCTGTCTTTTTGTCTCTTTTAACCCAGAGAGGTATCTATGTAAGGAAAGATTGTAAGGGGCTTGTTGACTTAGAAGGGCGTGATATCTGTATCAATATATGTATAGCTACATCTATATGAGAGAGAGAGAGAGAGAGGAGAGAGAGAGGAGAGAGAGAGAGAGAGAAAGAGAGAGATTCAGGAGGGGAATTTAGTCCACAGAATAAGAATGTGAATTTTCTTTCTTTCTCTTGACCTGTTTCTTTAAGATTTCTTTAAGTCTTTAATGCTTTTGTCTGTGATGATCCTTCTTTGTTATTTAATCCTTCAGTCTAATTTATTTAAAAATACTCTGACATAAGAGGATTTGATTCAGTGCTTATTCTTTTCTTGATAATGGTCTGTATTTACATTTCTTGTGTTTCTCTTACCTCGAATATATGTAGATCACATATTCTACTATACTCTTTCTTTTCTGTTTTTAAGAAGGCTTCATATTTCTCTCTTGCTCTGAATGTTCATTGTTTTTCATTGATGATTAGGTTTAGATTTGCAGGCTATGTTATTTTGGAGTGTAACCTGAACTTCTTTGCTATTTGAAATATCATATTCCATCCTTCTTTTGCAATTCATCATGCCTGGAGAGTAAAATTAAGTTATTCAAATTGATGTTACTACATAGCTGAAATCCATTCTCCTGGCTACTTACAAAATCTGCTGTTTTGACTTGAATTTTTGAAGGTTAACCATTATATATCTTGACATTTGAAGTGTAAGGATTTTCCCTGGCAGCAATCTATGGATTCAATCAATCAGTATTTCTCTGAAGTTCTCTTGCATTCTTTCCTAAGATATGAAACTCATATTTTTATCAGGTTCCTCTGGGAGATCTATAACCCTTACTTAATTTAGAAGCATTCTGTCTCCAACATCAGTCATTTTTACTTAAATATAACTCATACGTGTGTTTCTTTTGTGTAGACGTTTAAAAAATTTTTGTATCTGTATCATCAGTGCCTGGCACACAGTACTTAGCAAATTCTTATTAATTGCTTAATTACAAAATTATTTCATTTTGTTTCTCCCAAATTTGCCAATACTTCTGTACTTGAGTTCCAAATCTATCATTGTCTCTTTCAGAACTTCTCCTTCAGAAAAATTCCCTATTGTATGCTCTAAGTTCTATATTCTATTGCTCATCTTCTATAATTCTGTATTGAGAACTCTAATTTCTGTCCTGTCATCCTACTATCTGTCTTTCAGGCATCGTTTTGTTATTCTGGATCATGTTGATCCATGACCTTTTGGAAGTTCATAGATTTCTCTTTTAACCAGGTTGTTTTTTGATTCATATTCCTTTACGATGTAGTAATTGTTTAATGTTATAACTTCTTCTTGAGTTTTATTTATTTTTTCTCTTCGGTGTTAGTCTCTTTTATCTGCTTGATCCATCTATTGCTTTATCTATTGGTCTGACTACTCATTGATTTATTTACTCATTTTAGTTACGTATGCATTTATCATCATCATTAATTAATTCCTTTTTTGCTCTTCAATGTTTTTCTTTTTTTTCTTTTGGTTTTTTTAGCTAATTGGGGTTAAGTGACTTGCCCAGGGTCACACAGCTAGTAAGTGTCAAGTGTTTGGTCTGAGGCCAGATTTGAACTCAGGTCCTCCTAAATTCAGGGCCAGTGCTCTATCCACTGCGCCACCTAACTGCCCCTCTTCAATGCTTTTCATATAATCTCAAGAATGCAATTTCTTTGGCTTTCCTCATAACTCTTGGTCCTGCTCCCATCCACTACTGGACAGCCTATTGATTCTAGAAGTACTCAGCCTTTTTGAAATGGGATTTTTGGGGACCCAGCTGGTTCCTTGCCAGAATCAACTTCATTGAGAGAGCAAGGACTCAAGATCAGTTTCCCAGATGAACCCGGTACGGTTTGGCTATAAGTATATCAATGGGAACTCTACGCGTGTCAGGCTTCTGATATCATTTCATGATGATTTCATTTTGTGTGACATAACTGACTCTTTTTCTTGTGGATTTAGCTTTAGCTATTGCATATGTTTTACATGTTTTGGGTGAGCTTTTTTAGTTTGGAGAGGCTTGGGAAAAACAAGTCCTCTACCATATTACTGATCAAATGAACATTCTATTTTCATTCCTCTGTGTTTAGTTGGATGGCAAGAAACTCAATTCAGTCTGTCAAAATTCACATTAAATGTGTACTTGTCTGAAAAATCTAATATATCATGTTTTGTTTTTAAAGTCAGCTTCATTCATTCATTTGCTTAATGAACATGCATATACCACACATTGTGCTAGACATTAGGGATATAAAGTCACAAATGATAGAATCTCTACTCTCCAGGAGTTTATATTCTGTTGTGTGAAACACAGTACCCAGATCATTAAATATAAAACATAGACAAAGTATATACTAAGAAAATTAATGGAGGAAGATTACTTGTAACTGTTTGAATCAGCATAAGTCTCATTCAGGAGGTAGCATTTAAGGAGAGATTTAAAGGATGCTAGGGTTGGAGGAGTCTGGCTGGACAATGACATGGAGTCATAAGATGGAATGTCCTGGCCAGAACAGCAAGTACTTTAACAGATAATTTACCATGGTGGTTCTTTGAGCATTAGTCTATTCATAAAAGAAGGCTCCAGGTAAAGTAGGGCAACTGGACCAAATTGATTTGACCATTTAGGTCTCATCAGTTACATTACAGCTGGGTTCATCCCAAGTTTTGAATATACCCAGCCAACCTTAAAAGATGGGATCATGGGAAATCAAACACAAAACATCTGGGACTTTTAATGTAACCTAAACAAAAGATGGGAATTTTAAGGTACTTGCAGCAAAAGTCCTAATGAATAACTTTGAGGAAAAATGGATAGTTTTACTTCATTTTGAGAGTTCAGATGTGTTGACATAGGTAGAGTCATTCAGATACATAGAAAATAAGGGTAGGGGATGCATGTTAGCTTTCCACAGTTTGGTCTTTACTGCCTAAAAAATGAAATTGATCCTATCTTTCTCCATATAGTTGGCTTTAGAGTTTGACCTGAGTCTCAAGTAGTATACAGTAACATACAACTTGAGAATGCCAAATGAATTGATATTCTGAGTTATAAAAAGGCAATCTTTCACTGCTTCACAATCTGTGACCTTGGCTTCCATTCTCTTGTAGAGGAAGTTTGTGGTCAGCGATGGGGGTGCAGGAACACAATATTCCTAATGCATTCTCATTAACTGAATGAATGAGTAAAGCTAATCTAACAAAAATTTATGATAATTAGATTTTTCCAAACAAGTATACATTTAATGGGAATTTTGACACACTGAGTTTTTAGTCATCCAACTAAACACAGAGGAATGAAAATAGAATGTTCATTTGATCAGTCATATGATAGAGTACTTGTTTTTCCCAAACCTCTCTAAACTAAAAACACATTCCATACATAAAGAATGATTAGGTATTATACTCATTACTCAAGAAGACAGAATATGACAGAGGAAGAAGACAGAAAGCAGATAGAGGAGAAGGAGGAGGAGAAGGAGAAAGGGGTGAAGAAGAAGAAGAAGAAGAAGAAGAAGAAGAAGAAGAAGAAGAAGAAGAAGAAGATTTTGTTCAAAGTGGATATTTATGAACTAAACAAGTCAATATGGCTGGTGACATTCATCAGTATTACCAATAAATTAACATATATTCACCTATGAGCTTTTCAGGAAATTTGAAATTGGAGTTTTGATCTCACAAATGAGTGAAATTCACCTATTACCTTCATACTTTTTTTCCTTTTTTTTCCAAAGCTTTATATTTTCAAGGTGTAAAGTGGCAGTTCTTAGAAAAGCTGAATGGTCCAGGAGGCCCAAATTTCTTTAGGATAACTAGAATGTAGAAATCCTAGGCTTCTGTCCCTTTTAACTAATAGAGTATAAGAACACCCAATCGAGAACAGTATAAGGATCGCATAATTGGAGAAGAAACCACAAGACTATTGTTGACTCTACATTTTCCAGGGTTTGGTTTCAAGGATTAAAACTGAAGATCTAAAGGATGCTTGAGGCAGCTATAGTGTGCAGTGGATAGATTGCTGGGCCTGCAGTCAAGAAGACCTGGATCCAAATCAAGTCCTCTACACTTACCAGCTTTGTGACTTTGCACAAAACACTTAACCTCTGTTTACATCAGTTTCCTCATTTTGAAAATGGAGATAATAATAACACCCGCCTCTCAGGATTGTTATAAAGATCTAATGAGAAAATTTTTGTAAAGCACTTAGCACAGTGCCTGGCCCATAGTAGGTACTTAGTAAATATTCCCTTTGTCTCCTTGACATGAGGTCAAAGCCAAAAAAACAAAAACAAAAACATACAATATCAATGAGATATCTGGCAATTTCTTATTGTCTCTGTGTCTGGGTGCCCTCTCCCCTAACAAGAGTGGGAGAATCACAAGACATTTCTCTCCAAATCCAACATTTCTATCTGCATTTGGTTTATTTCAAGTTAGGTGAAAGCCTCTTTGATGTCAACATTTAGCTTATATGTCCAAAAAGTTAGAGGTGATTTCTTTAGAGATAGAGAGTCTAGTAGATCATAGTTTCAGAGGTGGCAAGTACATTGGAGTAGAAGTGTCAAACTCCCATCCAGCAAAGTGCAGCCCCAACCAGATTAAAATATAATTGAGAAATGTTCAACAAAATTAATAAAAATACAACATAAATAATATTACTTTGTGGTTCTCTAAGTCAATATTCAGTCCACAGGCATCAGTTTCTATTTGAGTTTGACATCATTGCTTTAGAGGATATCTAATTGAGCCCCCTGGTTTTTATAGATAAAGATACTGAGGAGACTGAGAGAAATGAAATAACTTGAGCAGCGTCACATAGGAAGTAAACGGAGGAGCCAAGATCAGAGCTTAAATCCTCAGCCTCTAAAGCTTCCACTAGATCAGGCTGTGCTACCTTCTCTTTTGATCCTGTTGAGCTCCTTCTTGACACTAATCAAGGGAAGCATTGTGGGAAAAGGGATCGGGAAGTCAGGGTGAACTGACTACTAGCAGTGTGACCCTGAGTTTGTGTCTCAGTTTCCTCATTTTAAATTGAAGGGGGTTGGACTTATTAACCAATAGGGTCCCTTCCTACTCTCAATCTATGATCCTAAGGAAACTGCCTTCAAATAAAACATTTAATTGCAATTAAATATTAACATGCCAATAGCAGGTCCTCATTATAGACGTGGGTAAGACTATAATTTGGAAGTATTCCATTCTTGTTACTATTATGATGCTACTATGATGCCATGTTTTTGTGAGGAATTTCAGTGCTTGAGAAGTAAGGCTTACAAATATCTTCTTTTTCTTGTATAATTGGAAAAAAAATCTCTGAGTATGAAGTCCCCCTCTTGGTTAAATCTTACAAAGATTGCTTTAGATCCCTAGCAACCACATCACATTTTGAAATGCTTGTTCTATGAATAAATGGTAGAGCTTGCACCCGTCAGCAACCGTCCATTATAAATACCTTTAACTCTTACTTTTTCAGAAAGGAGGTAAATTGTACATCTTTAATCACTTTAAATGTATCACAAATGATGGTCATATTTATCAGCATGACTGCCATACAAAGTCGTCACATTGGTCTCTGTAGCTGTAGAAGAGAATCTAGTGTTTTGGATCAGCTGTGGAACTTAAGAAATCATCACCCAAGCACCAAGAAAGAGCCATGCTGGAAGAACCATCTCATCTCTTCTTTCTTGAACCATCCATGTTGGTGGTAGGTATAACAGTCAGCATAAAATATGTTCCTGTACTGTTCGGTGGTGGTGCTAGGGCCCTGAACAGAAGCATCAAATGTCCCTGGACCAAAACTTCCCTCACTCTCCCTCCTCCAAACTAAGATGTCCCTAAGTGATATGATGTAGGCAAGAAAGATGAAGGCCAATGATAATCTTCTGATCTCTGCCCTCTGGAGGGAGAACAGTTTTAATCACCATTTCATAAGACGGTCCTTCAAATACTTGAAGACAACTAACTCCTAAATTCTGTCTTTCACAGATTAAACATCTCCTGTTCCTTCATTTGATCCTTTACATAGCATGGTTTCCAACCTTCTGATATACAAGATATATAGGTATAACCTGATAAATGGGCTTTGAGGCTTGGATCACATAGAGAATAGATAATAATTTATAATCACAAGGGTCACTATCCAACAGAAAAAAAAACTGAGAATAAAAAAAAAGTTCTCAAAAGGAAAAAGGTAAGATATCAACTAAAAAAAAAATTAAAAAAAAATTCTAGTGAGTTGAAGATGGAAACAACTGAGGTTCCATTTCATACCCATTGGATGGGCAAAGGTGCCAAAATGGAAAATTATAATTATAAGAGTAAATGAACTGTTGGTAGATCTGTGAATTTGTCTGACCATTCTTCATCCCCCTATATCTAACAATACCACTACTATGCCTATACTCCAAAGAGATTAAAGAAACTAGGGAAAGACTCACATGGACAAAACTCTTCATAGCAGCACTTTACAACAGAACTGGAAACAAACAATTTAGTATATTCCCTTTCATCCAGTACACAATTTATTTCCAATTCGTGGCTATTACTTGAAATCTTCAAGAAAAAGCTATTGAAAAGGATGGCATATGAATATAGTGGGATACTGTTGGTCAGAAAGAAATGATAAAATGGAAAATTTCAGAGAAACCTAGGAAAACATGTTGAATTGAAAGAGTGAAGTAAGCAGTACCAGACCAACTTATAATAACATTGCAAAGAAACACCACTTTGAAAGATTTAAGAACACTGAGGAATGCAATGACCAACCATGATGCCAGAAGACCAATGTTGAGGTGTGGATCTACCCACCTAATAACAGAGAGATGATAGACTTAATATTCAGTATGAGACACAAACTTTTGAACATGATCCATAAGGGAATTTGTTTCCCTTGACTGCATATTTATTACGAAAGGTTTTTTTTTTTCCTTTCTTTTTATATCTCATTGTAGGTGAGGAGAGGGGCAGAGGTGGATGGAGAAAAAAAATAAATTCTTTTTAGGAAAAAATCCTCTTTATTATTAGTAAAGACAAGGATACAGTAGAAGGAATTCTCTTTTAGGTACAGTCTAGACTCATATGTACATTTCTCATTCTCCTGATTGCTACTTCTGGCTTCTATGAGAGAAGGGTGTGGGAGGAATGGAAGAATAGAGAGTGACTTGGGCCAAATAATAATAATTAGAAAATCATGTAAGTGAATTACAAGGCTTATACTCATGAATTAGGACAAAGGTTGAATTTTGGGGAGGAATAATCTGGCAAAATTTGGGATGAATTGGGGGAAATTTGAAAAATAACCTCGAAGCCCAGAAACTGGTCTAGATTTGACTTCCAGATTATAAGAGGTTCAGGTTCAAGGGAAATTAAGGAGGATATAAAAGATTTAGATTGGTAAGAATCAAAGGGACTGAGGAGTAGAACCCAGAGAAGTAGCTCAAGAAGTATAAGGAGTGAGTAGTTGGTAAGACAAGGTAAAGTAAATAAGAAAAGGTCAGTGCAACAATTCAAATAATATTACAGTTCAACTATAGTATGTATAGATGAGTGAAACAAACTGGTGAAAGAGATAGCAGATTGGGTTAAGGCCCAGGGAGAAGTGGGTGTTATTGTGGCTGTGAAATAGTTGTCAAACAAGCAAAGTAGTTTGAATGTGGTTGTCGGGTAGGAAGCAATAATCTGCAGTGAAAAAGTTTTAGCTAGGTGCTTACGTTTGTGGTGTAAATACTCACAAATAGTTTTGAGAAATGAGGTTAAAAATCTTAACCATTATGGAAAATAAGAGAAAATGTTCCAAGACTTTCCTTGAATTCATGATGTTTGCATTTCTGCCACAACTGAGTGATTGTTATCTGTATTCCTGATGGAAACTAATCTCTAGCTGGAAAGATAAGGTCAAGAAATTAAAAGAATACCTTTCCACACTCCAGGTGGTTAGTTAAAATAAAGGGTTACTAAAGGAAATAGAAGCAAAGTTTAAAAAGGGAAAATAAACAACAAAAAACCAAAATAGATGGGAGCTAGAGAGTGGGGAGTTGCCAAAATGTTAGGAAATGGAAAAGTATTATTACAGGAAGAAAACCGGGAAGCAAAAGAGCATATATATAATAAGAGCTTAAAAACTCTTTCCCTAAAGAGAATAAAGCAGAATGCTCAGAGAAGGAAGAAGCTATTTGACGTCTCAAACATAATATAGATTAATCACAGATTATATCAGCTGAGAAATCATTAGTAAGAGCAGATCACAAAGAGAAGCATTGTTAGACGTAGTGATTCCCTGCTAAGGGGAAACTGAGTGCAGCTATTTGTGGATCTGATAATAAAGAGATTTGTTAATTTATTGAAGCATCCAAAGATAACAAAGAACCTTCTATGACTCTGTTATCAAAATAGATTATAATTGTCCATTTTTTTTAAGGCAATTGGGATTAAGTGACCTGCCCAGGGCCACACAGTTAGTAAGTGTCAAGTGTTTGGTCTGGGGCCAGAATTGAACTCAGCTCCTCTGACTTCAGAACCCTTGTTCTATCCACTGCACCACCTAGCTGCCCCCTAATTGTCTATTTTTATTGGTTTATTTGGGCACCAATGACATGACCAGAAGGAACCTAAAAACGAATCACAAAATCTTGGCCAAGAAACCTAAGATCTTAAGGGCAAAGGTTATGTTTCCTTTTGGTTGCACATTAAAGGCAAAGGGTGAAGAAGAGAAAAAAAATAATTACACATATGTACATATATATATATATATATATATATATTGTATACACATACACACATATATACACACATATACATTTATATGTGTGTATAGTAGTGCACAACTGGCCAAGAAGGTGGTATCTGAGAATGGAGTTTGGATTTCTAGATCACAGCTTAGAATGCGTGGTTGACAGATTCCTGGCTAGAAGTAGAGTACACCTAACACAATATGATAAGAATGCATTTGCCAAGTGTCTTGCAAATGTAATCAAGAGGAACTTAAAGTAAAAAAAAAATGGTTGAAGGACAAAGAAAACTATGTATATCCTGAAAGTCAGATATTTAGAGAGAAGCTTCAAAGAAAGAAGAATCCTATCTGAGACTCCCAGAAATGTACAAGAGACAAAATCCAAGAAGAAGATCAGTAGTAAAGCCATAGCCTCAGGAGTCCTTACACAAATTTAGAAAGGTTGGGGCGCAAGCAAAGGAAACTGGAGGTTAAAGAAGAAAATATCACTTCATTACGGAGACTTGCTAGAATGAATCCCGTGACTGGACAATGCTTCTGGATGGGTGTACCTTCTTAAAAAACAAAACAAAAGAAAACAACGACAACAATAAAACAAGAGAGATACAGGGGAAGGGGTAGAGCTGAACATTAAGAAAGTGTACACAGGCAAGGAAATCCAGGAATTAGAGAAGAAAAGCACATGTAGGTCCTTTTGCCTTTTTTATGATCTCTTTGGGATACAGACCGAGTAGTGGTGTTGCTGGATCAAAGAGTAGGCACAGTTTGGATGCCCACAGTTGGCAAAGTTCCAAATTGCTCTCCAGAATGATTGAATCAAATCATGACTCCACCAACAGTACATCCGTGTCCCAATTTCCCCGTATCCTCTCCAACATTTATCATTTTCTTTTTTGCCATACTAGCCAGTCTGATAGGTGTGAGGTGATATTTCTGAGTTGGTTTAATTTGCATTTCTCTAATCAAAAGTGATTTAGAGCATTTCTTCATATGCCTATTGATAGCTTTGATTTCTTCATCTGAAAACTGATTGCTTATATCATTTGACCATTTATCAATTTTTTTTTCATGTTGGAAGAAAAATACAACTACCATATCTTCTCAGATACCCAAGGATTTCCAAGGATATGGAAGCATTAAAAATAATCTACTATATTCTCAAGTACTAATGACAACATGATAAGACAAACGGTCCATTGTGAAAAACACACTCACTTGAACATTTTTTTTAACTTTTGGAAAGAATTTTTATTAGACTAGCAAGTTCTTACCCTCTGTGCTTACAGAAGGTGATAAAGGTTTGTTAATGACACAAGTAAGTGGGTTTTGGATGGAAACCAGTACTAGAGCTGTGAAAACCAAGTTGTCTTTTGTTTTCTGTCTTTAAAAAAAATGCTACCATAAGCTCTCTGAGACTTTGTTGATAAAGGCATTATGGAAGCAGACATTAAAAAATATTGGTCATTGAGGACAATAGGCAGTGTGGACAGTTGGGTCATTGGAAAGAACATAAGACTTGGCATCAAATACCCTTGGCTTGGCTATTTACTACTTTGGTGCTTGGACAAATTACTTAAACTTCAGTTCATCAGTTTTATACTTTGCAGCAAAGAGAGAGTGCTGGATTCAGAATCAGGAGGACTTGAGTTCAAATCTGGCCTCAGACATTTAGCAACTGTGTGATCCTGGATAAGTCATTTAACTAGTTTGCCTCATTTTCCTTTTCTGTCAGATGGAGATAATAGGAGCACCTCCCCCCTCCCAGGGCTGTTGTGAGAATTAAATGAAATAATATTTTAGAGGCTTACTATAGGCCCTGGCACATAGAGGTGCTTCATAAATATTTGATTCTTTCCTTCTCTCCTACTATGCTTTTGTCTGTGTGTGATAGATGCTAGACAGATCAGGATCAGATTTCTAATGATAATTTTTTTTTTTAATGATGCAGCAAGAATGTGTGTTGGCCAATAACACTC